CATCCCAAAGGTCGCCACAGCCTGCATCCTGTAGGTCCTGTTCCTCTGGTAGGAAGGACCGTGGTGGCCCCCTTAAGGGTCTCGTGGTTTCTGCTTCTCTCTCCTCTCACAAGCAGCAGAGAGCCCAGAGGTAGAGGGCACAGGCTTCTCCGGGAAGGGGTTCGGCTTTCTGCTCTGATATGCGCTACGCATGTGACCTTGGACAGGTTACCTAACTCTTTATGGTTTACAAGTAGCTTTTTGTTCCCCATTTATCCTCTCATCTGAGAATTCCCACGATCCAGTGTAAGATCCCAAGTAAGCCCCGTTGCCTGCAGGATCAAGTCCAACACTCTTTGTAAGGCATTCAAAGTTCTCCAGATCGAGCCCCTGCCTCCTTCTCCAACTGCCCCCTGGAGCGAAGCTATTCCTTCTCGTATTCTGAGCGCGACAGTTGGCGCTCGACAGGCACTCAGACATGCACCCAGTGAGTGGACGCAGCCTGTGCTGTCATGTGTGCTTTCCTCCTTCGTCCGTGTCTGGCTTGCCCTTCCTTTCCTATCTATCTAATTCCTTCTCTCTTTTTAAGATAGTCTCCGTGCACATTCTCCACGAAGAGTCCCATGTTTATTTATCCAATGTTTATTGGCCACCTGCACGTGCCGGGAACCATACAAGATAGACGCTAGGGCCCCAGCGGGACCCCATCTGAATGAGAAGCTCTGCGGCAGCCAGTCCCCATGTTTATGGTAGCACTTGACTCATGGGACTGTAACTGCCAAGTCAGTTCAACCATCTGTCTGCCCACTAGACCTTCGATGAGCTCTGTGATCAGCGCTTATCCACTTCTGTGCTTTCCACAGTGACTGTGCAATTAATACGTTAAATCAAGCCCTACGAGATATTTATGCATTTTTCTTCTATCTCACTTTATCTGGTTAATAACCTTGACATTGCAGCAATTTCCCAGTGTTTACATTCTTACATAGACACATCTAAGACGAAATGAGAATATGCTTATTAAAAATAACGGCAGTTTCAAAAACGATTGCAGGCAAGCCACCCTTCAAGAGCTTAGACATTCTATAATTCCTGATCCAATCTTTTTTAAGAGGTGCCTCATGCACTCCAGGACCCCCCTCCCCCCACCACCCTTACCTTCCCACTGCCAAAAAGAGAGTTGCAAGCTGACAGTGAAATATGTTGTGTGGATGCCTACCCCCCCTTTCTTTCATTAAATATCGAACAACTTCAAATGTAACCTTACTACACGACATCAAAACATGAGTCTTACTGACTTGTGCATATGTGTTAATGATCTTTTCTTACTGAAATTTAGGACAGCAAGGCCCACTGCTGAATATCAGGTGTTCCCTATACGCAGACTTTTCAGATCACAAAAACTCCCTTCGAATGCCAATTTCTTTAACCCCTTCCGCCTCAACTGTAGACGTTTCTACCGGATCAGATTCGACATAAGCGAAACCGTCCCAGATGTCTCCGGCACTCATGAATGCCACACACATCATGCTGAAGCAGAACACAGGGATATTTTGAGCAATCACTTGCACAGAACCATTTGCCTCAAACTGGCCCCAGATGATCGTATTTTTGCCGCTCTCTTGATATATTCACTCCTTTGCCTCCACTTCTCCGTGCTGTTAGACTATCCTCATCATCTACTCTTCCTGTACACGATTTCCTGAGAGATAAGGGACAACGCATATCTGTTCGGTAGAGTATATGAGCAAACAGGACTTCGCAATTGATGAGCAAATTTAAAGCTGAGTTCGAGATGGCCAAGGGTGCTGGGAGAGCCACCTCTGAATGAGGGGGACGTAGTCATCTTTATCTTTTCCCTACAAACAACAGAGTACATATGAGAATCCAGGGTGTTTTCAGAAGTGTGTGTGTTTGAGGTCTTAGACCTCACTCCATTTGTGTAAAGATCTCTAAATAGACCCTTCCAGATTGCTTAGTGTGTTAATTTGGGCTGTGACATTGACCTTCTGGACTCAGTGGCTTAGGAACAAAGGCATTTATTTCTCTCTCATGTACGGTCTGAGTGTTCCTAGTGGACAGGTGGCTCTGCTCCACAGAGGCATTCAGGGGCCCGGAATCCGTCCCTCCCGTGGCTCTGCCGTCCTGTGGGCACCGTGTTGACCTGCTTGGTTGGGGCAAAGTCACACCTTCTCTGGGTTCCAGTCGGTGGGAAGGGAAGAGAAGGTGGAGGGGAGTCCATAATGGCACATATCCCTTGACTTACATCCCTTGGTGAGAACGCCACTAGGCCCCAAGTAACAGCAAGAAGGACTTGGGATTGTAGTCCCCAACTGCCGCCAGCTACGTGCCCAGCTGTAACTCTGTGTCCATGGAGCAGAACAGATTCTGATGGACAATTGGCAGTCTTCAGTACTAAAAAAAAAAAAAAGTATTTTCTTACTTGTTTTATAGAAGTACTGTGAAACCGCTACATAATTCTCTTACTTTACACGAATACAATAGGAAAACAAGTCAGACTGCCATGAAGTGTTAAAGAACTAGATTTGTTTTAGACCTGAGATAAACCTGAAAGATCCTCTCCCTGGTCACTAGGCCGTGTGTCTCCAGCAGACGTTATCCCACTGACGTGTTTGCTCTCACCCTTTCCTAGAAGAGCAAGAGCTTTGCTCAGGGCTGATCCCAGCATCTAGAACAGTCCCTGACACATAGAAGGTGTGGATAAATCTCTGTTGAAAGAATAGATAAATGAACCTGAAACATATCAAAATGTTGTCATTTTAAATTATTTTGTGAATCTATAGCCTCCTCTGCTGAGTTACCAGGGGTAGCAGAAACATTTTGGAGGATCTAATGAGAAGACATTTCTTCCAAGTACATGGATAATGGGTATGAGGTCTAAATGCTAGCCAAAGGACAGAGGTGCAAGGCACAAAGAAAATTTGGACAAGCTCCTGAATGACCCTTGGTTGTTCCACTTCTGTTCTAAAGGAAAAGCTCATTAGAGAGACCTACGTTGTATCTTAATTAAAAAAAAAAAACTGAAGTACTGTCTTGAACTTGACTCCCAGATGTGAAAAACACATTGTGTGACATTCAAAACACCTGCAAAATGCAAGTATCTTCATCGGCTGAGAGATATTAAACAATCTATGATCAAGTACCAGCCTTTTTTTTTTTTCAGGATAAAAATCAAACATTTTGCCACCATTAAGACCAAAAGAAGAATTCAAATTAGACAGTCCTGTCACTTGTCAATTAGAAGTAAATTCTTATTACAGAGTGGGAAATTTATGCCAGCAAATATAGCAACAAACCTTATTAAAATAAATTCAGTGACCTTTTTAAAAAAGATTACAAAATTGAATTTATTGAGTTTCACACAAGATGCACTTATAAAATTAGTATTGAATGCCATTTTAGCAGAAGAAATGAACATCATTCCCAACTCCCAATATATCCTGCAAAGGAAATGAAATCTTCCGAAAATGACAGCACAATAATAACAGGCTAATTCAAGCTGAGTGGAAGGATATACCCAAATCATATTCTTGCACGGATCAGGGCTACATTTGGCAAAGTTCCCCCCCAAACTATTCCATTCACATGGACACTGTTCCTTTTGGTGGTGAAGAGGGGATAGAAAAAAAGTATAATTCTAAAATGGGGCTTCATTGAAACATATACAAAAGTCTTTTCATTTTTAACTTAAAGTACTTCCTGGTTTCACCGAAGTATTTCAGTAGGACTTTCTTTTCTACCCTATGTGAACATTAACCTTCAGATTTCCTTAGCTGATGCAAAACATTAAAATCCACTTCCATATTTCTCATGAAGAAGCCAAATATTAAAGCTCGCTTTATATTTCACCCAGGAAATAGAGAAATCCCCTAAAATTACTTTCTGCAGGTCACATGCCTGAAATATCAGCACAACAGCTGAACTTCAAAATGAAAACATCAAAGGAAATGATAGTGAACAGTAGAACATCTGGACATTTTGAAATGAGACGCTGTAAAATTTTCATAAAAATGCAGAAAGGTTCCTCGAGATAAAACTGGTGGGGAATAACTTGTCCTATGCTGTAGGCCACAAACTAGTAGTTAAACAGAAATGGAGTCTTGATCTCAAACAAAACCAAGAAGCACCTTTGGCTGCTGTTCCCAGCGTCCAGACACAAAGGTCTCCCCACACAGACAGTGGCCCACAGGCCCCGAGCCCATGGGCACCCCCAGCTCGGGCACACCCACGGACACTCCAGTCAGAAAGACTGACGCGTTTTTTAAGCCCAAGCAAGATGCTGCCCAAACCGCTTAGAATATTTACTTTAAAACTGTCACTTTAAAAACTCAGTTCAAGTGGACACCTTAAAAACCTTCGGGTTTTATACAATGACAATCCTACAGCCCACTCGACATCCGATCCTTTTAACTGTAACAATTTGTGAAGCAATTAGTTTTAAAGCGAAACCGGTTAACTACACATGAAAGTTAACACTGCTCTGCTTTTTCAGTATAAAAAGTGCCTTTTCGTAAGGGTATTTCTATTCTCTCCATTGCAATTGAACAACGCACAGCTCACATTTTGCTTTAAAGAGTAAACTGAAAAATCATGAAACGTTTTCTCTGTGATGCATAACTTTCATTAATGAATATTTTGTAAATAAACAAACTGGCTTAGGGTTTCTTCCTATAAAATGCTACTATTCACCATGAATTATTTTAGGTAGCCTTTTATTCTGATTAATTCAGATACATCTTCAAGGATTATTCTGGTGGTAAGAACATTTATCTTGACTTAAGTTTTAATCTTTTTTTTTTTTTTTTAATGCTTTGGCAGATGAAGTCAAGTCTGAAACCTGTTTGTGAAAACAGTATGAGCTGGAAAGGTAATGTCATGGCAGAAGCTTCACAGTTTTCCAGGTGTATCCTTGTATGGAAGAGGCCTCGAGGGAGAATTCGAGGTTCTGGAAGCGCGGACGGATACGGCAAAGTGATTGGGAGGTGGTCCCCGTGAGGCCCGGAAGTGACTGCCCTCTGCCAAGCCGGGGGCTCCTCCTCACCCGTCAGGTTCCAGAGTCCAGGCTGGAGGTCGCTGCTGTTCTGTGACCTGACCTTCAGCCAGACCACGTCACCGGAAGAAAGATATTAAGATTCGCTTTCCATTAATAATTTAAGTTTTTAAATAAATATTTAAGTGCCAGTTTTCGCATCTGTCCAGCCCAGTAGCAGAGCGTCTCCCGCCCCAGGACTTGGCCGCAGAGCTCAGTCAATTCGGTTTCCACAGATTGTGAACCTGTCTACCTCCAGCAAATCTTTCTTTGAGGATCTGTGCTTTAATTCAGAGCTTTCCTGCGTTATGTCCTTCTCATCACCATCTGGAGTCGTCAGAAACTGATCAGAACTGCTTGTGACAAGTAAGGGTATGACGTTTTCTTTCGGATGAACAGGCTGGCTGGTGACCGAAGCAGACAAGTTTTCTTCTGTGGAAAAAGAGATGCCGTTGGTTAGAAAAGGATTTCCCCTCAATTTATAATAAATACAAGCATACCAACAGAGTGGCAATGAGAAAAGGTGTCCCCATTCATCTTCTAGGTAGAGCGAGTGATAACCGAATAGCATGTGGCATGTCAGCGGCCATGGTTTATCATGAAACTCCGTGGCTATGCCATTTCTGTTTGCTCAATAAAATTCTACAGAAGGGCTATTATGTGGATCCTGAGAAACTCAACAGAAGACCAGCGGGGAGGAGAAGAGGGGAAAAAAAAAGTTACAGAGAGGGAAGGAGGCAAACCATAAGAGACTCTTAAATACTGAGAACAAACTGAAGGTTGATGGAGGGGTGGGGGGAGGGAAAGTGGGTGATGGGCACTGAGGAGGGCACCTGTTGGGAGGAGCACTGGGTGTTGTATGGAAATCAATTTGACAATAAGTTCCATATTAAAAAAAATTCCACAGAGGGACATTATGTGGATAGCATCACACAAATAATACCACCACCTGACTTTGGTGTCAGAACTCCTCTCTAACAAACTCCCTCCCTGCATAACCAGGTCCTAATATGATCGTTGCTTCAACAGTTAACACTGGCTCCTACACTCAAGACGTCAAGGAGAAGCAGACTCTAACACATCCCACCTCTCCTGGGTACCGGCACCAGCCCTTTTTTTGTCCCCCCTGCCCAGGACAAAAATCACACATTTTGCCACCATTAAGACCCAAAGAAGAATTCAAATTAGACAGTCCTGTCACTTGTCAATTAGAAGTAAATTCTTACTACAGAGTGGGCAATTTGTGAAATGAGGCGCTGTAAAATTTAGCTTGACTCAGCAGTTCACCTGCGGGAAGTCCAAAACAGGGAGAAACAGACCGACCGACAAGACCCAAACGTGTACTCTGGGTCACGGGAGTCCTGGAACCCGGCTCGCGGGACGGCTCGGTCAGGGCCTGCAGCCACCGATCTCTGCATCACACATTCAGTCCTTAGGAGAGCAGCTTCATCAAGGTAAGAATGACAGCACGTGAGCTGAACATACTTAAGAGGAATAATCTGATGGGTGTGGACACACGCATACATCTGTACGAACCACCGCCACGATCGACCGTGAACACGGAGTCTATTTTCTTGCCCTCCCTGCTGCCCCCACCCCCACTGCTGTCCTTTGCTTCTTTAAGAGCATGACGAACACGACGCTTGTTTTGAGAGCTGCCCCTCTTTTCATCCTTGAATTGAACCTGAGCCACCTGACTTACAACACCTTCCTCAACAGTGTCTGTCTGGCCTGTGGTCTCCTGATCTCCAAAAACACCCTACATGGACACTCACACTCTCGTCCCAAATGCACTTCTTAGTACGTGGCTCTGGAGCCAATGGCCTCGAACTGAGGTGTGCACTTAAAGGTTTCACCTCCTGCGTCCCCCATCAGACTGGACTCCCGACTGCATGACCGACACTCATCTGTCAATGTGCGGAAGGTGCCTAGCAGGACAGAATGCGTGTTGGCCACTATGACTGACCCGGTCGAAACACACGCAATCCCGTGTTACTAAGAGTATTTACATGCTCTCTGTTATGACAAACATTATTTTCCGGTTGTTGGACAAGATTTCACTTTCCTCCTGGCTCCCTAGAAAGCACGCATGAGCACGGCACTCCGTTCAGCCTGGACTTGGCCCTTTCCCACAGCAAACATCGTACCCGGAATACTGAGCTGCTAGTTCCTGGCTGCTTTTCAGGCTTCTAGACTCGGCTCAGGCCGGCAGGTTTCTGAAGTGCCCTCTCCACCCATCTTCGCCTGGGGCCACTTCTCATCCTTCGAAACTCAGCCCAGGCTTCACCACCTCCAGGAAGGGACCCCGTCCTGTCCCTTCCACACCTGTCTCCAACCCGCTCACGTGTCTGGATTATCCACTTTTACCATCTCCTCTGTCTGTGAGGCCCTGCGGCACGATTTATTTACCTGTGTATCTCCAGGATCCCATATCACCCGCACACAGTGGCTCAGTATATTTAAAGATAAGTCAATGAACGCAAAGTCCTATGAACAGGTACCACGAGAACCGGGAACTGCCATCTAATGACAAATCTGACGGCAGGGCCCCGCTTCTTCCTCCAAACATTCCAGGCCAGCAGCCCTGGAATCCTCCACTTCTCTCCCACACTGTAAAACTCATCAGCAAATCCTGTGCTCTTCCAGACCTTTCCAGAATCTGGCCAGCTTTCCTGGCTCACACCACTCACCCCGGCTCTGAGCCAAGCAGTCTCCCTGCTGACCTCCGCCTCTGGGCTCACTCTTCCCGAGTCTACTTTCCACAAAGCTCACAGCTGGATCACGTCCCTCCTCTGCTCCAAACCCTGGAATGGCCCCTTCCCCACAGTAAAAGCCATGCTCTTCACAACAGGCAGCAGGGTGGCCTCTCTGATGCCTTCTCCAGTCCCTCACCCATGGCAGGGGTCCACTCCAGCCACCTGGCTTTTGCTGTCCCTCCACACGCCCGGCAGGTTCCTGCCCCGGGCCCTCACACGCACCGGCTGCTGGCACTGAGCCCGGGAAGGCTCTGTCTCCTTGGCTGGGGGAGCTCCTGACTCCCGCTCACACTCCCCTTGGTGGACCCGCTGGAGTTTTCTCTGTAGCACTACCGCCCCTTGGCTCTCTCTGTCTCCCAGTCAGAACCAGTTCTGTTTTCCCCACCAATGTATCCCCTGAGCCTGTCATGTACCAGGTGCTCAAAAATCATCTACTGAATGATGAACACAAGGAAAAACTCAGAGCACGGCATGGGGGTGTATCCGCGATGAGATCTAAAATAGAAACATTGAAGACAACTCAGCAAAGTGAAATCAAATCTTGAAAGCAATGTCAAACATCAACTGAATAGGGATTTCTTCACTAGGGAGAATTCAGACCATTAACTCTGTAGAAAACGATTCACACAGTGATGAAAGGAACAGAACGTACCTTGAGAGGGTTTACATTTGTTCTGTGACTTATGGGGTGGTTTGCCTGATGTGCTGGCCGGAGGAGGATTGAACAACTTTTCTTCCATTTTGGCCTCCTTCACATACTGACATGACTTCCCCAACAGCACGATGCTATTAAGGACTTTCAGGGAGATCAACCTGGAACCAGAAAGAAAGAAACAACCACAGCTGGAATTCATCTCCATGACCACAAACGCCATATCCCGCCACAGCTGCCGAGGAGGTGTGGGGCCTGGGTAGGAGCGTGGCCTGGGGGTCGGAGGCTCGCATCTGGGGTGGACGAGGTTCCCGTGAAAGCCCGAATTCCTGAGGCTGTTTTCCCATAAGGGAAAACTCTTGGTAAATTCCTTAGTCCTCAGTACAAGAGAAAAATTGTACCACTTACAAGTTTTACCTGGTCCCGAGTTATTTAGCATTTACTCTCTTATGCAAAACCAGTACATGTAGTAAATACAGATGAACCAAAAAGAACTTAAAATCCCATACCCCAGTGCTACTCACTGGGACATTTGGTAGATTATGTCCTGGTAGTGTTTGCTATGACTTTATACTAATTTGTACCTTCCCACTGTTCAGAAATTGGGCCTATTTTACAAGGCACAAGCGGATGGAGTTGGAGGCTGAGCTGATTCTGGGCATCAAGCGCTTGAGTTCAAACCTGATGCGCTGCTTAGAACCCGTGTGGACCTGAGTGAGTTTCTTACCCAGTAGTAAGAGATGATACTAGTTAAGTGCTCAGAACAGTACTTGGCACACCGAAATGTCAACCAATGTTATTTCATTAGATGCTGGTGTTGTTTTACGTAACAATAATATCATTATTATTATTATGAATATTTTCCCTACCAGTTAATGTTCCTCAGTGACATTATTTTAATGGCCTTAAAATATCACTGTTTAGGTTATAACAAAGCCCCCAAAAGCCCTTAACTTTTGGATATTTGGATTATTTCCAGTATTTTGTTTCTATTTAAAAGTTTCTAATTAGGAAAACATAGGTGAAATCTGTATTTCCTTAAGATAAATTCCTAGATAGCTATAATTATTGAAGTGGAATTTCTGGGCCAAAAAATGTGCATGGCATTTTCAGGTACTTGATACAAATCTGACAAAAAAAATCTGAAAAACTGCCCTTCGCGCTGATATGTGCTCACGTGACGTTCTTCAAACGACAAAGAAGCACAGACGTCACTGCCAGCGAGTGAAGAGGCGGCTGCCGTCTCTTATGGCTGAGGGGAGGTCGTGGCAATGACAGGAAGGGGCAAGTCAGTGGGGGTGACGCCAAGAAGGGGCCTGGCAGGAGGTCAGAGCAAGGGGCAGACAGGTTTCCTTCACCGTCCCCAGCCTCTCCAGTCCAGGAGCTCAGAATGCCACCACGAGGGAGGGCCTCACACAGATCCTTGGCCCCGAGGACTTACACGTGCAGAACACTCCCCAGCTCAGCCCCAGGCCCAACTTTGCCGGGAACTCCTTACTCCTACCTTCCATCGCTTCCCTGACACTGCCTGGGGGAAGTCTAACCGGATTCCAAACTTACTAAAGCCAAGCCAGAATTCTTGATTCCGATCCAACCCTCCAAAAAAACAAAAGAAAACAAAACAAAATCACACCCCCGTGTATCTCTTACAGGCTCCCTTGTCACAGTAATTCTACTACCCTGACTGCTGGGCCCCAAACTCTGGAATCACATCGGATTCCTTTTATTCCCTTACACCTCATGTCCCATCACCGCTCGGCAAGTCCTGTCTGGCTCCACCGTCAAAACAAACACACGCCAGCAGACAAATCATTACCACTCCGCCGCGACCACCTCAGTGGCAGCAGCCACGGTCACCTTGGGCCTGAGGTCTGCTTCTCCTGCCACGCATGCTCCAGCCCATTACCCACGTGGCAGCCGGGTATGGCACGCTCTTCTGCTTGGCAGCCTTCGGGGTCCCTCCCTCAGCTGGAAGCTGCCGGGTCCCCCCGCTCAGTGCCCTGTCGGGACCGCCACACTCCCGGCCGCTGCTCCTGTTAGACTTGTCCCGCGTCCCCTCTGTGAGTCTGCCATCCTCCCGGGCACCTGCACGGCTCTCTCCCTCTCTCCGGCTCTCTTTCCCTCTGTCTGGTCTCCACTGAAAAACACCAGCTCACCAGGGAGGCCCCCGCCTGCTCACAGGCAACCGTGTCCCTCATTCCGCATCTCCTCACGCTGCTCTTTCGTACTTCCTGATGCCGACCACCAACTGTCGTCTTACGGTGGTTTGCTTTCCTGGTTGCTATTTTTCCACTAGAGTTTCAGTGCCATGAAGGCAGGGCACTGGTCCCACCCCAGGACCAGTACCTGGCGCCTAGAGGGCTCTGACTGAGGCGTGCTGCCCAGATGAGGAGGGCAGAGGCTGCGAGCCTTCCCTCTGCAGCTTGGCCATAGCAAGCCTGGAGGGAAAGAGGCTGAAACTGGGGGGGTGGGGGTGGGGACAGAGCACTGTGTGCTAGGAGGGTCAACTGAATTCTGACTGGTCTGTACTCAAGGGAGAGTCCTGGGCTTGGTGGAGTTAAGGAATAAAGAAGGCTTCACGGACAAGGTGGTTTGGGAAAGATTTTGGAGGAGGAGAGGGTCATCCGGGCACTACCCTGATCCAAGGCGAATCAGGACACATCAGTCGAGGGGAAAGATCAGTGAGCAGGTATGCCTCTCTGGGCTATCGGGGGGAACAGTGACAAGATGGGGGAGAAACATGGGGGAAGGTCGTGACTTTTCAGTCATTTGGATTGAAGCGCGTCCACTTTGGTGAATTACGCACACACAACAGTCACTAAACGAAGGTTTTTAGGTGTAGTGCACACATGCTTCACTTCCTGGGTTGTGTCACAAGAAAAATACAAGAATATTCTGTTAAACAAACATGGGAGCAATGACAGCAACACCACTCGAGGACGAGGCACAATGCCAAGAACTCTGGAGGGCTGTGTGAGCATCTGGACCAGAGGAGGAGCTCAGGGTTTTAATGTCAAAAAACTGAGAGAGGTGTGTGGTCCCCTGAGCTTCAGACTCTGGGAGTCAGTCCCTGCAGTATGAAGAAGGGGCAGGACCTGAGGGGAAATCCAGACCCCGGACCCCTTGCCTCAACGCAGTTTCTTACGTGCCTCGTGTCAGAGCAAAGCCACGGATCAAGGTGCTGACGATACGGCTTGGGACAATGCGGGGACAGAGGCCTGACAACCACGCGGAGGCATCCGCCTCCTAGAACCTGAGCAAAGCCACGGTGCGGGGAGCCCCAGGGATTAACGGAGTTAAAGGTGTTTTTAAACACAGGAGAATGTCTGACTGTGATGGCAGATTTTATCGTAAGAGGAAATACGGGTACAACTGAAATCCTAAGCAGAAAGAGCTTTAACGGACTCCTTTCGCTAAAGATTAAAATAAAATCTAAAGTGCTGTTCATACTAGTACCAAATAGCAGCGCATTTAACTGAGTCTCACTCAGCAAGTCACGGACACACCTGGAGGCAGGTGCTGCTAAGGGGACCCCGGGACAGTGAGAATGGCTACAGTGTGAGGTGGTTGATATTACTGTCCATTACATCCTGTATTTGTACTTTACTGTATAACCAAAAAACATGTTCCAGAACAGTTAATCTTACCCAAAATAGAAGAGTATGACGCAGGCATACGACAGGATTCCTTGCACTTTAATGGAGCTTGTGACGACTCTGATGAGCTAGTGAGAAACAAACCGAAACAACACACACACACACACAAAACACACAATCACAGAGTTATTAGTTAATATTTAAAGACCTGTTCACACTGATTTTAACACTTTAGGTGCACCCCTGTGGCCCCTGTCTGAACCCAAGTATGTCGTCAAGCTTTGACAATTCCTATACAATCTGGCTGCCTGTGACAACTCCTGCGGCTGATTTGGGTCTGTTCAGGCAAATCTAAGATGCCACGTTCAGCTGCCGGTGAGTGTCAAGTCGGGCACTACATCCAGGTTCATGAGTGACACATTTAGTTGTACCTCACAGAGATGCAAATCAGCTGATCTTTAAATGAAAAGTCACTCTGGGAAATACAAATGGGTTCATCCTACTGCATGTATCTCCCCGACCAGAGCTAGAACCACTTGGTGGGCATTTTCCTTGTTCTTGCTTTGTCTTTCATGGACTCTTTTTAGGAACCCAAAGGGACCTACAGGGAGGAGAGAGAGAAGGGAGCCTTAGGAGTTTTGTACTGTTACCAAAAAAAACCTGAATAGTATTACAAAATTAATTATAAAGGATGGACATTTTCTATCTCTTTTGGATAGTTATGGTTAAACACATGTTTTCTTCCTTATCTCAGAGAAATATAGGCTGAACAGCACTGTCCTTGGAAATGTGTAGAATAAATCTGGTGGGATCTGTCACCAAAAAATATTTACACATTCCAGGTTAGGCTTCATAATGTACCCGCATATCAGGGTCTAGGGGGACTGCTGCGTGGAAATGGAAAAGTCAGGGAAAATAACTGATATCCACAATGTGAAGTTATCATCAAATCAAGTCTACTAGAGCGTCTTAAACAAGTATCCTAAGACACAGTTTAAACACTATTTACAAATGCTTTCAGTAAAAGAACAGCTGGGTGCAGACAGAAGGGACTGTAGTATGCCCAGTGAAGGTCCCTTAGGAGAAAACGGATATGGAAGTCTCCATCTCTCACACAGGCTGTGACGGGCAGACGACCCCTGGACACACACTTGGGATGGAAGTTAAGATGGCTCTAGGATTTGACTCATGAATATGAAAGGCAAGCCATCTGCCCCCTTCAAGGCTTAAGTAATTTCATTTTTATTTAATATATTCTTAGGTAATTTTAAGATACATAGGTCTAAAGTTTAATTTCCATAAGACCTTAACATAATATTACTTTGTCTGTTTGGGGTCTTTTGTGGTTCCATACAAATTTTAGGATTACTTGTTCTACCTTCAAGAAGAATGCTGGTGCAATTGTGATTGGGATTGCATTGAATGTGTAGATAGCTTTCGGCAGTATTGACATTTGAACAATATTTATTCTTCCAGTCCATGAGCATGGAATGTTTTTCTATTTCTTCACATCTTTTTCAATTTCCTTCATAAGCTTTCTATAGTTTTCAGCATACAGATCTTTTACATGTTCGGTTAGGTTTATTCCTAGGTATTTTATGCTTCTTGGTGCAACTGTGAATGGGATCAGTTTCTTTGCCTTTCTGTTGCTTCATTATTAGTGTATAAGAATGCAACTGATTTCTGTACATTGATTTTGTATCCTGCGACTTTGCTGAATTCACATAACAGTTCTAGCAGACTTTTGGTGTGGAGTATCGGGTTTTCCATGTATGTCATCTGCAAAAAGTGAAAGCTTGACTTCATCTTTGCCAATTTTGATGCCTTTGATTTCCTTTTGTTGTCTGATTTCTGATGCTAGAACTTCCAACACTATGTTAAACAACAGTGGTGAGAGTGGATATCCCTGTCATGTTCCTGATCTTAGGGGAAAAGCTCTCAGTTTTTCCCCATTGTGATATTATCACAATCCCAGACTTTATAGCCTCTACTACAAAGCTGTAATCATCAAGACAGCATGGTATTGGCACAAAAACAGACACATAGACCAATGGAATAGAATAGAGACTCCAGAACTGGACCCACAAAAGTATGGCCAACTAATCTTTGACAAAGCAGGAAAGAATATCCAATGGAAAAAAGACAGTCTCTTTAACAAATGGTGCTGGGAGAACTGGACAGCGACATGCAGAAGGATGAAACTAGACCACTTTCTTTCACCATTCACAAAAAAAACCCTCACAATGGAAAAAGGACCTGAATGTGAAACAGGAAACCATCAAAACCCTAGAGGAGAAAGCAGGAAAAAACCTCTCTGACCTCAGCCGCAGCAATTTCTTACTTGACACATCCCAAAGGCAAGGGAATTAAAAGCAAAAGTGAACTATTGGGACCTCATGAAGATAAAAAGCTTCTGCACAGCAAAGGAAACAATCAACAACACTAAAAGGCAACCGACAGAATGGGAAAAGATATTTGCAAATGACATATCAAAGGGCTAGTATCCAAAATCTATAAAGAACTCACCAAACTCCACACCCGAAAAACAAATAATCCAGTGAAGAAATGGGCAGAAAACATGAATAGACACTTCTCTAAAGAAGACATCCAGATGGCCAACAGGCACAAAAAAAAATGCTCAACGTCGCTCATCAGGGAAATACAAATCAAAACCACAGTGAGATATCACCTCATGCCAGTCAGAGTGGCTAAAATGAACAAATCAGGAGACTATAGATGCTGGTGGGGATGCGGAGAAACGGGAACCCTCTTGCACTGTTGGTGGGAATGCAGACTGGTGCAGCCACCCTGGAAAACACTGTGGAGGTTCCTCAAAAAATTAAAGATAGATCTACCCGATGACCCAGCAGTAGCACTGCTAGGAATTTACCCAAGGGATACCGGAGTGCTGATGCAGAGGGGTACTCGTACCCCAATGTTTATAGCAGCACTTTCAACAATAGCCAAATTAGGGAAAGAGCCTCAATGTCCATCAGCTGATGAATGGATAAAGAAATTGTGGTTCATATACACAATGGAATACTACGTGGCGATGAGAAAGAATGAACTATGGCCTTTTGTAGCAACGTGGATGGAACTGGAGAGTGTTATGCTAAGTGAAATAAGCCATACAGAGAAAGACAGATACCATATGTTTTCACTCTTATGTGGATCCTGAGAAACTTAACAGAAACCCATGGGGGAGGGGAAGGGAAAAAAAAAAGGGAGGGAGGCAAACCATAAGAGACTCTTAAAAACTGAGAACAAGCTGAGGGTTGATGGGGTGTGGGAGGGAGGGGAGGGTGGGTGATGGGCATGGAGGAGGGCACCTGTTGGGATGAGCACTGGGTGTTGTGTGGAAACCAATTTGACAAAAAATTTCATATTAAAAAAATAATATGCATGAAACCACACAATGCCTAAATGAGACTTCAAAAGCAGTTACTATAAATAAAGAAATTTACTTGCAAAAAAAAAAAAAGACCTTAATAAATAATTTCTTTTACTTCTCCTGGACACAAATGCATTTTAGGACATAAGGTAGCATTTAGAGAGAAATTTTGTCACTCGTGGGCCTCAGTTAAAGAATGTGTGGGATTGCTGAGGCCCTGGAATATTCTTCAAGGCTCCTAGCTATCTGCCAAAGCTACTGGCTCACTCTGGAGCTCTGTGAGAAAAGCGCTGGAGGAGAAAACCCTCTGGATTCCTGCATAACAGCATAACCCTGTCTGAAAATAACCCCCTAAGCATTTCATTGATCAATTATTAGTTAAACTTAAATCTTTTGCTATAACAACCATAAAAACTCATTTAAGGAATAAAATAAAGGCTGGAGAAAAATTTAAAAATACTAAATTAAGAAAATCTATATTAATTATGAATAGAGTTTTCTGGCAAATAAGTTATTAGATAGTCAATTATTATTTGCAAAGAAGGGCCACATTTAAATCCAATCACTTAACCAATCCTTAAAAGAAAAAAAAAATCAGTCAGGCAACCTAGGTTTATCCTTATACTACATGTATCATGATTCCAGTTGTAGGAAACAAATGTAGAAAAATTTAGTATTTTATCAATCTCTTATAAAGAATTTTACTCTTTTTTTTTTTTTAATTTTTTTTTTCAACGTTTATTTATTTTTGGGACAGAGAGAGACAGAGCATGAACGGGGGAGGGGCAGAGAGAGAGGGAGACACAGAATCGGAAACAGGCTCCAGGCTCTGAGCCATCAGCCCAGAGCCTGACGCGGGGCTCGAACTCACGGAGCGCGAGATCGTGACCTGGCTGAAGTCGGACGCTTAACCGACTGCGCCACCCAGGCGCCCCAAGAATTTTACTCTTTAAAATATCCTGTTTTTCCAAAATTCTAGGAGTTTCTCTTCCCAAACAAAATAAAGCTATATTATTATATAATAAACAAGTTACTAACAGAATTGAAAACATTTGGGATGTGGCTGTCTGGAGAGTTACGATGAAATATACATAACATTAAATTTATCAATCTCCCTTCCTCTAAAAAAAGGTCAGGCAAACTGGTCTAAAATACAGTTGGTATCACTTACATCTCTTTTTACATCTCTTAGTTGACTTCCATGACACTTTGCATCTACAGGAGAATTCTAGATGTCCTTTGGCAAAAAGATGGTTGCATTTGTTTTGATGTGAGACTAGGTAGCCAACAAGGAATATAATCAAATACAGGTGCAGCCAGCAAATCTTCTTAATTAATATTATTACAGCCTGATGTGGCTAGTAACTTTCTACAAGGCTGTTCTGAGCAATTCATTAAATTATTCAAGGTTGGTGACATTATCTTGGATTGATCTAATACATTTCAGTGCTATTACTTAAAAAAAAGAAAAAAAATATATATATGATATTTTCTGGGTATAACAGTAAAAATTTTCATTGTAAAAACTTTGGAAAAATTTTAAAAAGTAATGACTATAATGGATAAAGACTACTTCTTCATTTGAGCATACCATAATTTATTTAACCTATTTCATTTCTTTCCAAAATTTTACTACTATAAGTGCCACTGCAATGCATAATCTTGCCTATAAACCATCATGTGCCTTTTATAACTACTTTCTTAGGATAGATTCCTAGAACTGGAATTGCTGCATCAAAGCATTATACTGTTAAACTGCCTTTTAGAAACGTTGGATCGACTTCTTATACTTCCGCTAATACATGCTACAGTGGCCATGCCAATGCCTACCACTAGGCATCTCCATTCAAAAAGAAAAATCTTTGCCAAATGAGTAAGTAAAAATGAGTACTCCCATTGCTAGCAAAGCCATTACATAAAATGGTCTGTTAAAATTATCTACTGGACAGTTCAAAATCCAAAAACATAATGCCACAACTTAAAATTTCCTTCCCATTTTATATCATGTCCTTCTGAAATAAACTTAATGATAATCCACTTATTAGTATTCTGTAATGATGGCTCTCTCATCACAAAAAAAGGGAAAAAAGTATGAACTTACTAAAACAGCTAGTGGGAGAGGAATGAACCCCATCCTCCGTGCCACAGAGTCACTGTAATCAGTATACGCCTGGACAGAGAAAACAGAGAAGGATTACGGCATTTAAAAGGTTCGCTTCCACTCATCAACAGCAAATGTTCTCAACAGGCAAGACTATGCACAAAAACAGAAGCCGGCACCTATTACTGAGTAACTGAGTAAAATACTGTGAACATTATCTAAATGTTCATAAGAAGTTTTAAATCCAAAGTTGTATAACTATTACAATACTACAGAAATCATACCCTGCTTAATATTAAGGACTATTATTATTTTACTAAACACAGTGTAGAGAACAGAGATTAAGAGGAAGTTGAAATTTATGGACCTTTCCCTTAACCAATATTCCATGCTAAATTAAACCACTGTTAATTTCAGACTATGTCTCTGTTATAATGCTCACATTTTTCTGTCGGCTGCTAACAAGGTCAAAAGCAAGGCTGGCTCTATATTCACTGTAGACCTAAAGACAAATAAAAGTGATATATTAAGTAATATAGTGCAAATATACAACGTGCACAGATTCAGACTTTGTAGATGAAAATGTTTAATAATTAACCAGGAAAAAGGTGCTGATCACCAAGCAGACATCTGGGTAGTGTTTCTCTATCTTCCTAGAGTAAGGGTAAAATAGTCCTAATTCCCCCATCTGTTATGTTTACGAGCCTTTCAAACATTTCCCTTCAAAGAGCAATAGTCAATGATTATGACACTGAGAGTTTAGAATTTGGGGAAGAGGGGCTATTTTAAGTAGTGTAATATATATATATATATATATATATATATATATATATATAAATTTGACATTTTAAATGAAAAGTTTAAAAAATTATTGACTATATATATATGTACATAGACTGTCTATATATAACGATAATGATGCCTTCTTCAAAAAATGGATGCTCTGCAAGATATAAAACTGAGAGAACATAGAAGTTATGAAGGGACTGTAAACTGTCATTTCACTAAAAACTGCACTGAATCAAGTTTATTAATTTTGACTTCAGATGCTGAGAAGATGATTCCATTCTGTACTGAGGAAGCCAAGAGAGTAAACAGTGAAATGACTCGATCACTGCTTTACAAAAGAATACAAAATCTTATTTAAATATATATCAAATCATCACACAGTAGCAGTTGCAACCACATTAGATTTCTGAAATAGTACCTTCTGAGACAGTACTATAACAAGACAAAGTATAAACCAAATAAAATGTAGGAAACTGATGAAATTAATGTTTATTTTGGGCCTGAGGCAGGAATGGGGAAGATGCTAGGAACTCCCATGGTTTTGTACCCTGAGCCTACAGCACATGTCTATTTCTGGAAACTCCACAGAACAGCTGGCTGAAACACAAAACAAATCTCTCGAATGCTTTCACCAAAAAGTATAAGGCTCTTGTTTTCTAGAACTTTTCAGAAATCTATAATCACAGAAAAAAAATCCATTTTTAAATATAAAATACTTTAAAAAAACCTAGCCAGAGGGAACAGTTTTGATAGTCTAATGCTTAAATAGAAACAATGGGATTTGTATAAGTTTAAGTAAACAAATTATGATGCTATTAACAGTTTATAATGATTCTGAGTCAGTGACACTCTACTCTGACCTGAACTATTGGCCGAACTATAGTCCCACCAAAAGTATGGAACAGGACTGTTCAACATTGAAATAGTATACTTTCTGTACTATAATTTTCAGAAATTGAAAATTATAATTCTAAATTTAAAGTAGTAGTACTCTTATCTTTATAAACGCAGTAAACCTGGACTCGTCATCTTACAACTTCATAATATTAAGCAGCAGCAGTCAACATTAAACACTGAATTGCTTATTAAAATACATACATCTGCAGTAATGTCATTGAACTTGGTGATAAAGGCATGTTTTACAATATCCACAGCAGTTTCTGATGCAATCACCATACAGACATCTGGAAACAACACCCAGAGGTGATCTAGAAAGTGCAGGGAAAAAGAGACAGTTGAATCTCTTCATAGGAACGGGGTATCATGTACCATAATAGTATCACACAGGCAGCTACAGAAATCTGCAATCTCCACATGGCTCAACTATAATGCTGCCAATAAATGATAACCGAGGCAAAACTAGCATTCAATTAATTATCAAAAAACCTCTATTTTAACAAGTTAAAGGATAATACACTCAATAGATAACCTATTTTGTATTTTCTCTGTGCCAAGCCCTTGAGGGGCAGGTCACAGAGGTGAGTGGAGCCCCTGAATTCCTTCACACAGCTAACACGCTGCTAGGACGACTAATTGAGCAGGCTTGTTATAAAACCCTTTAATTCTATAGCTGCCTGGTATGCTAGTAAATAGCTAGTTGGGACATGTGCTGGAGTCAATGGAACGATCTGCCTCTCTTTGCTCCCTAAGATTCAAAGATTTTGATCATTTATTTCAGTATCCCACAGATGCAATCTGTCAAGTTTGCGCACCTTTACCATTATTTGTTAAAATGTCAATTCAGTACCAAGTACCTGATAAAAAAATGCAAACAAGTAACCTCCTAAGACCCTGAAGAAGGATGTGAGAGTGTGACAGAGCAAGAAAAAGGTTAGAAATGTCAACAAGGTCCTAGGCAGTTTGGGATCTGGGCACTGGAGGGCAGGGTGGAGAGAATACAGCTCAGGCCATCCGAGCTGACGGTTTTAGTGGGTCTGGCATTGCGTTGAGGTTTTGGGAATCAGGAAACTTTTTTCCATGTCAAATTCTGCCACTAACTAGCTACATGACTTTTGGCAAGTTTCTTCATGACCTAAGTTTCAGTTTCCTAATCTACAAAATAAAAAGCATCTGTATTTCACCACTATGAGAATAAAGACGGACAGCGCAAAGTGCCTGGCACACAAAACAGCTAGCATTACTCTCATGTTATTCATGATCTTGCAGGCTTATAGGAAGCTTCCGTAAATGGCATTTTTTAAGAAAAGAAATTAAAAAAAAAAGAAACTAAAGAGAGAGTGAAGGAATGATGACTCACCAACATTAAGTGATCCTTTCATCACACCGCCATAGCAGTAATAAAGAAGACCCAAGCAATTTGCTGAAAGTCCCAGGACAAATGAGAATATGACTTCAAACCTCCAGCTGTCAGCAGGCTTAGGACTACTGTCCTTTGGCACAACAGCTTGCTTCAAGACTGCTGATCCCATGTGGGCTCTGCTGAGACCAGCCACACATGCCCTCTACCCAGCCTCATGCAGACACCATATTAGCTGCCGTAGTTGTAAACCAAGAACGCAGCTACACAGGGAAAATCCCAGTGTGTGGAGCACGGCTTTGCTGCCACAACTCAGGCAGACTTTGGATCTATTCAGACAGGAACGCAAGCCACCGTAAAATATATTTCATCTTATGCTTTCCACAAGAAAATTACTTCTGGAAATGTATTTCCAAGATCATATATCTCACTTAACATCTGTTTCTGGTTTCTCATAGGTACCCGAAGACTGGACTAGCAATGAATCAAAATAAATTAACAAGAAGTTATTAAAAGCCTGGAAAGTGTATCGCATTGAAGGTAATGAATGAAATGCAAAAAATAAGCTTGTTCCTTAAGAACAAGGTTGTCTAAAAATGTCAGAAATAAAAAAAACAAACAAAAAACTCTTAATTACTTGAGACACCTGAGCACATGATCCTTTCCCCACCAAGCTCACTTCAGCATCACCAGACTGTGTTTAACTACCTATTGTCACTATTAGCCTGAGAGTCCTACACATATCTCAGTACTGTCTGTGCGGGCCACAGTGCCCAGCCTTATGTAAATGTCTGCTTTATGAATGGATGATGAAAATCCATAGAATGTTATTTTATTTTAGAGAGACAGACGGTGCATGTTAGTGGGGGGAAAGGAGCAGAGGGAGAGAGTGAGGGAGAATTTTTTAAATTTATTTTTTTAAATTTACATCCAGGATAGTTGGCATATAGTGCAACAATGATTTCAGGAATAGATTCCTTAATGCCTGTTACCCATTTAGCCCATTGCCCCCTCCCACAACGCCTCTAGTAATGCTCTATTTGTTCTCCATATTTAAGAGTCTCTTATGTTTTGTCCCCCTCCCTGTTTTTTATATTATTTTTGCTTCCCTTCCCTTCTGTTCATCTGTTTTGTATCCTAAAGTCCTCGTATGAGTGAAGTCATATATTTGTCTTTCTCTAACTTCACTTAGCATAATACCCTCCAGTTCCATACACGTAGTTGCAAATGGCAAGATTTCATTCTTTTTGATTGCTAATACTTCATTGTATATGTATACCACATCTTCTTTATCCATTCATCCATCGATGGACATTTGAGCTCTTTCCATACTTTGGCTATTGTTGATAGTGTTGCCATAAACATGGGGGTGCATGTGTCCCTTCGAAACAGCACACCTGTATCCCTTGGATGAATTACCTAGTAGTGCAATTGCTGGGTTGTAGGGTAGTTCTATTTTTCATTTTTTTAGGGACCTCCACACAGTTTTCCAGAATGGCTGCAACAGTTTGCATTCCCACCAACAATGCAAAAGAGATCCTCTTTCTCCACATCCTCGCAAACATCTGTTGTTGCCTGAGTTGTAAATATTAGCCACTCTGACAGGTGTGAGGTGGTATCTCACTGTGGTTTTGATTTGTTTTTCCCTGATGATGAGTGATGTGGAGCATTTTTTCATGTGTCGGTTGGCCATCTGGATGTCTTCTTTGGAGAAGCGTCTATTCATGTCTTTTACCCATTTCTTCACTGGATTATTTGTTTTTTGGATGTTGAGTTTGATAAGTTCTTTAAAGAGTTTGGATACTAGCCCTTTATCTGATATGTCGTTTGCAAATATCTTCTCCCACTTCGTCGGTTGCCTTTTATTTTTCCTGATTATTTCCTTCGCTGTGCAGAAGCTTTTTATTTTGAGGAGATCCCAATAGTTCATTTTTGCTTTTGTTTCCCTTGCCTCTGGAGATGTGTTGAGGAAGAAATTGCTGCGGCCAAGATCAAAGAGGTTTTTGCCTGCTTTCTCCTCGAGGATCTTGATGGCTTCCTGTCTTACATTGAGGTCTTTCATCCATTTTGAGTTTATTTTTGGGTACGGTGTAAGAAAGTGGTCCAGGTTCATTCTTCTGCATGTCGCTGTCCAGTTTTCCCAGAACCACTTGCTGAAGACACTGTCTTTATTCCATTGGATATTCTTTCCTGCTTTGTCAAAGATTAGTTGGTCATATGTTTGTGGGTCCATTTCTGGTTCTCTAGTCTGTTCCATTGATCTGAGTGTCTGTTTTTGTGCCAGTACCATACTGTCTTGATGATTACAACTTTGTAGTACAGCTTGAAGTCCGGGTTGTGATGCCTCCTGCTCTGGTTTTCTTTTCCAAGCTTGCTTTGGTTATTTGGGGTCTTTTCTGGTTCCATACAAATTTTAGGACTGTTTGTTCTAGTTCTGTGAAGAATGCTGGTGTTATTTTGATAGGGATTGCATTGAATATGTAGATTGCTTTGGGTGGTATTGACATTTTAACAATATTTGTTCTTTCTATCCAGGAGCATGGAATATTTTTCCTGTGTGTGTGTGTGCGTGTGTGACTTATTTCTTTCATAAGCTTTCTATAATTTCAGAATAGATTTTTCACCTCTTTGGTTAGATTTATTCCTAGGTATTTTATAGTTTTTGGTGCAATTGTAAATAGGATCGATTCCTTGATTTCTCTTTCTGTTGCTTCATTATTGGTATATAGGAATGAAACTGACTTCTGTGCATTGATTTTATATCCTGCAACTTTGCTGAATTCATGGATCAGTTCTAGCAGGTTTTTGGTGGAATCTTTTGGGTGTTCCATATAGAGTATCATGTCATCTGCGAAGAGTGAAAGTTTGACCTCCTCCTGGCCGATTTGAATGCCTTTTATTTCTTTGTGTTGTCTGATTGCAGAGGCTAAGACTTCCAATACTATGTC